ATACAAAGTTATGAGTCTGTATGCTGATGACATATTAGTATTTAATACAAAGTTGCATTAAGTTGGGACACGGCGTGGGAGGAGGGTTGATGATGCTCCCCCAGCCGAAGTGAACATGGACATGTGTTGTGGACGCATACAGATGCTTAGTAATTTATTACATGCCGTGATCTTTGTTTTGTTTTTTTGAAGGGGGGAGTGTTTCTATTGAGAGGGCAGTCCCCCTTTGATAATTATAGAGAAAACAGATATGTTAACTATATTTAAAATAAAAAACATGATAATCAACATTTACAAGCTCACTAAGATGAATATTTACATATTAGCATAACATTCTTCATATTCTGATTATGAAGTTTTTTTTATCTGTGATTTGTTTGTTTACTAGATTTTTAAGATTAATAGAAATTTTAAATATAAAGAAATGAAATCTTTGACACATAAAGTTTCAGAATGGAGAAGAAAATTTTAATGATAATATTCATTTATGTTATATTTTCCCTATCTGTCGAGCTACGAGCTTCATTTTTAGGAATAACTAAATAAAACAGTCTCTTTTAAAGTAGGAAGCCGAGCGACGGCGCAGTTGTTTCAGTTACTTACCCTTGGACTCGTCCTCTCTTTTGCTCCTGCTGCAGCCGGATGTTCTCGAGCTTCAGAGGGCTGGGGATGAAGCCGATCTCGCAGCCCTCCTTCACCAACCGACCGATCCACCAGTCGTTGTTGAACTTCTGAGGATGTCGAAGCATTGAAACGAGACCGTTAGACCTCTCTCAGACAAATCCCGTTTCTCTCGGCCGAATTAATTCAGTATCCGTACGCAGCAGGGATTTACCTCCTTTATGTGGAGGAAGTCCTTGGCGTCAAAGGAGATGGCCGTGGCCGGGACTGGAACGTCCTCGTCCAGAGCGCCACAGTAACTGACATTGGTCCTTACAGCGAATGCTACGGGTTTACTCTGGAGGACAGAAACACAAACTCTGTGAGAATAAACATATTTGTTAGCCATAAGAACACACCTGTGGTTGAGTTTTAACACTTTAGCTACCTTGGCTCTCTCCAGCTGAACGGCGGCCTGTTGCTCCCTCTCCTGACGGCTCTGTCCCGGTCCTTGGCTCTGGTTTGGGCTCTGGCTCTGGACCTGGGCCTGCACCTCCCGCTCCTCCTCCAGAGATACATCTGAGTCTGATGGTCTGCTAGTGTATGAATCAGCTGAGCCCTGCAAACAGGGCGTACAGCATGTCAAACATCCACACATAAGAAGAGTTCAATAACCTCAAATGAAAATCCAAATTTAGGAGGAAACTCCAATTTAAAGAAGGAGAATGAAGAAAAGTTGACAAACTGAGCCAGAGCGGTCCAAAACGTGAGGACAGATGCAGCTGAATGAATTTGACTGTTTTTGAGGTTTTTACACAGGCTTGTATGAAAAACTAGAGCCCGGCTGATAAAGCAGTAGGGCCGATAATTTAGGCCGATACAGACATTTGGAGGTATATCGGCATCGTGATAATTGTCCCATTTTGCGCCGATATAAACACTTCTAATTTTCACCTGGAAACCAGCTGTGTCTTTACTTGCAAAAGGTGTAATTGTACAATGTATCCAGCAGAGGGCGCATGGGGACTACTTTCAAGTCATGGCCGTTCACCTTAAGTTTCGCTTTCAGCACAGACGAAGCAGCGAGCAATGCTGTGTAGTGTGTTTTGCTGAACAGAACATGGTTTATTTTAACAGATCTGTAAAATAAAATAAATCTACAATAATAAATTATCTTTAATCTTCCAACCTGCTTCTCATTAGCTATGAGCCTCTCAAGTTAGCAAACTAACGTTTAGATAATCTAGCATAAACTACTGCTTGTGAAACTTTATCCAGAACAATAAATCTAACGTAGCGGTAAAATATATCAGTGTTAGTAACGTTATCTTTGTCATCATCAATGAAATGTATTGTTTGTCTGAAACCTTTACTTCTCTGCAAAGAAGAATAAACTCTGCTGCGGTCAGTACTAATTAGACCTTCACCATACGTGACTGTTAAAATGAACAGGGAAGGACGTTTCTTGGTTTAATTTGTATTTTTTGTAACACACTTGATAACTTTAGGTGAATAGTGGAGGATAGAACATGTGAAGACTGTATCAAGACTTCCAAGAGTTAAACCAGGTTTAAAAGTAGCAGAATTCTTTGATCCTTGGGGGTAAGCGAAGCTCAAAAACGTTCAGCCATTATATCTGTTATCGGCATTAGCCACGCCCCCTCCCAATATCAGTATCGGCGATAGCCAAAATTTCCATATCGGTCGGGCTCTATAAAAACCAGTAGTTTTGTCCCAAAGCAGAGGTCCACGTGAACGTTTTTGGTTTGTCCGAGACCACCTGTTTTTGTCTCCTCGAGGTCATCTGGTGGACAACCAAACGAAATAGACGTGGATTAAAGTTCTCCGTTGCCGTGACGGATTTCCGTCATGTTTTTAAATGAAAGAAGGAAAAAACGTGTTTTGTTGTGATCTTGTTAAAGCCGTCCAGTCTAATGATGATACTGATGCTGATATTTCAACCAATCAACAGAACCAGAGCCACGGTTTGAGCCAATCAGAGCAGAGCAGGGCGGGGCCTGCTGTCTGACACATGGCAGGTGTTCCTGACTCAGAGACAGGCTGCAGGTGAGAGCTTCACGCACCGACCTCCCCGGGACTGACTTTGTATTAAACGTTAATGTGTTGCAGCTGCTAGGCTTGTCGTGATAAACAATAAATCAATTAATCGCACGATAAATGAAAATTCTCAACCTCATTTTCATTTATCAGCTTTATTATTTCTTCGTGTCTCTTTCTACTGAAGACACTGGATGACAAAAGGTTCAACTCCGGTGTTCTTCACTGACCCCTCCCTTTCTCTTTAAAATCTATTTTGACCATCCAAAATCATATTTTTGGATCATTAAAAGCAGCTAAACTGAGAAGCTAAGCTAAGAGCTAAGCTAACAGGCCGACCTTGAGGACAAAACCTCCGTCTTGTTGAAGCTCCAGAATTCACGGTTGAAACTCGTGCCTTCGTGTAAAAAGTTGTTTTTCTCTGCAAAAAGAAGCTGAGAACTTGTTTACTGATTTTTATTAAAAGCTTTGTGTGAAAGATGCTAAAGAGCTCAAACCACCGAGTGACCGCCATTTTGAGAACTGAAGAGAGACAGCCCACGTCACGTCACGGGGCCTCCCTCCAATTTTTCTTAAAGAGACACTGCTCGCTCCCTCACTATCCATCCTTTGGTTCAAACAATCTTATACTGACATCCAGTGGTCAAAGAAGGTACTACACACAAAACTTAACCAACATTTCTTCTTAAATTTGACAATAATTACTAATTATTGACAAAGTTCAAACAATATTATCGTTTATCGCAATAATTTGTGAGACAATTAATCGCCCAGTAACAGTTGTTATCTTGACAGGCCTAGCAGCTGTTCTACAGAAGTTTGTTTATACTCTTTCAAATAGAAAGATCAAATTTAAAAGTCGTACAGTGAACTCCCGCTGCAACTCTTTAAAGCTGCATTTTTAATACCGGGATGAAGCTTCTTTCTGCTGCTTGAACCGAAACGATCAATCAAGGAGAACCATTAATCCCAACAAGATCAATCCAGTCAGTCGTCACAGCTAAGCAGTTTTTTCTTAAAGGCGAGCAAGCCGAAGGAAAGCCTGACTTCAGCACCACCCGTCTGGACTCTGTGCATCCATCCCAGAGATTTGCTTGGAAAGGTCTCCAAGAACGCCTAGCTGAAGGAAAACGGGGCTTTCTTCAGCTCTTTTTACAGATCAGTCCGTGGATTTTACACCTCGAGTGTTTCTGTGATGATTAAAACTCAGCCTCGTCAGGAAAACGAACCCCACTTGTTCTGCACAGAAACATGAAGAAGGCTTACTGCTGAATGATTTCGGCTGAAAAGGGTTTTTATAGCCGAACTGTTGATGTGAGTTGAACTTGGATGGCTCAATTTGTTGAACGCAGCAGAAAAACAGCAGAAATGTGTAGAGAAGCTGAATAAATGAAGCCAAAATGAGCCGAATAAGTTGAAATGGGCAGAGAGAAGCTGAACAGAGTCAAAGAAAATCTGAAATTAGCAACAAATAAACTGAAATGAGCAGCAAAAAAAAGCTGAAATTAGCAAAAATGTAGCTAAAAAGGCTAAAATAAAAGCTAACATTGAAGAAAGAGGCTGAAAGGAGCATAAAATGTTGAAATGATTCCAAACAAAGTGCTGAAACCAAGTACCAAAACGAAGATGAAACGGCAGAAAGAAGCTGAAATTAGTATAAAGAAGCTGAAAGAAGCTGAAATGAGCAGTATAAGTTGAAATGGGCAAAGAGCTGAATAAATTACAGAAAATCTTAAATTAGCAACAAAAAAACTAAAATGAGCAGATAAAAAGCTGAAATTAGCAAAAATGTAGCTAAAATGAGAAGAAAGGCTGAAAATAGCATAAAATGAAATTACGCCAAAGGAAGGCTGAAATTAACTAAAAATAGCATAAAAGGCTAAAATGAGCAGAAAAGCACCCAAAAGCAGCTGAAAAAGCAGAAAGAAGCTGAAATGAGCAGCAAAGGTTGTAAACAGCTATAAAAACATGGCTGACAAAGCTAAATATTTAAGAAAGTAAAAGTTGCTCAAACACCAGAAGTCAAAGCAGGAACATCCTGAATGAGCCGAACGTTTTGATGCAAGAATAGCCGAAATGGACCAACAATGGTGGAACGAGTTGAGAGCTGAAAATGGGCTGTTAACAACGAGAACGGGTCAGAAACGTTCACAGAACAAAAACTGAACGTCGCTTTAACTTCGCCCCAACGAGTTTGTCTCGAGGCGACAGCAGACGGAATCACAGCCGGGACGTTAAACAGCTAAAGCAGGTGAGAAGCAGCTGAAGGCTGCTCTCCTCTGTGAGCAGGTCTCAGAGCAGCTCCAGTGGAGTAGCTTCGGCGTGTGACTCATCGGCGCCACGGTCCGCTTCGTGACATCACCACGCGTGCTCCTCCGGCGCGCACTCAGCTGGACGTCTTCAAGGAACGTGACACACGATGCATCGTTTCAGCGGCCTGACGGGGGGGTCGCTCACATCCTGTCTGCGGAGGGGCACGAGGGGGGGGGGGGGGGCTCCTTTAGGTCTGATCTGCAGGTCTACACGGTTTCTACACCATCAGTGGAAGCAGCCACCCAACCCCCTACGAGCCAGGCACGCTACACTGTACCACTGGATCACACATCAGAGGCCTCCAGTGCATGTGTGTGTGTGTGTGTGTGTGTGCGCGCACGCGTGCGTTCGTGTGTGTGTGTGAGCGCACTCACCGCCTCCGAGTCTTCAAATCCATGCAGGTACAAATTGTCATACATGGAGGTTTGATATTCCAACGAGCGCCTCTAGAAGAATGAGGGGGGGTGAGAGTGGAGGCGGAGGAGAGAGGAGGGGGCACCAGAGAGAGAGAAAGGATGGACTGGGGGTGGGGGGGATGACGACAAGTCTCCCTCTCCACAGCAGAGAATAATGAAATATATATATGTGTGTCCTCTCCTGTGGGCTCCTGCCCAGTCCTGGGGGGGCTGGAGGTGGACTCGGCGTCTCCCTGGTCCCGGCTCACAGATCAGGACGGAGCCGCTCTCCACGCAGGCGTTCCAATCCCGGCATGTCGTTCCTGTCGGGCTTCCACGGACGCACGGAGAGAAGAGCAGAGGCAGCAGAGGAGCCGTGGATCCTTCCTCAATACCCGAGCACGATGACAGCGTCGGAGCGCTGCGAGCTGATTGGCTGCCGGGACGTCCACTCAGCCTGGACCAGCGTCTTTATGTGCAGAGTCGGAAGGAACCGGGGGGGTGGGGGCGCGCGTGTAGAAGAGGGGAGCACCGTCCTCATATACATATATATATATATTTATATGTATTTATATATATATGTATATTTATATATATATGTATATATATATATATAAATATATATTTATATATAAATATATATTTATATATAAATATATATTTATA